GTCAATCACCTAATTGTCACCATCGTCCCTAATAGTGGGGATTGGAAGAGAAACGTGAGGACTCCAATAAGAATTAGAAAACGACCCAAAAAAAAAAAACTCGATTGAAAAACAAAACCACTAAAAAAACACTGTCAAGAAAAAAAAATCTTACAAAAAAAAAAAACTAAAAACTACCTAGGTTTCTGTAAAAAAAAATCCTTTCACTTATACAAAAAAAAAAAAAAAAACCTATCCAATAAGAGCTAGAAAACGACTAAAAAAAAGAAAAAAAAAACTTGGCCTAAAAATAAAAATCACTAAAAAAAACACTGTTAAGAAAAAAAAAACTAGCTAGGTTTCTGTAAAAAAATATATATATATTTGGCCTACATAAAAAATAGAAAAAAAATAAAAAAAAACCACAATCCCTTTGAAATGGAACCTATTATCAGTGCCAAAAAAAAAATAATAATAAGGTCAACGGAGAAATCAAAAAGTAAAAGAAAAGCAAAACTTTGGTTTTTTTTTTTTTCAAGAATCGAAGGGTTTTGTGTAGATTTAGGCTATTATAAAAATTTTTTGTAAAAAAAAGACTAGATCAGTAAAAATGGTGCTAAGAAGATCATTTTAAATTTTTTTGGTATTCTTCGACGATCGATATGAAGGCTAATGACAACTTGCGATGACGACTAGTACAACGGATGACGACTAGACCCTAGTGCCTATTTGGAAAAAAATTGAAAGGTTTTTTTGAATTTTTTTTAAACAGAAGAAAAAATAAAGTAAAAAAAAATGCCTTTTATATAGGTAGAAAATGGTCAAAACAATGTTGTTTTGGCACCTCGGGATCCAATTATATACCCACGACCTTACCAGAGGTTCACACACCCAACCTGACAACCTTTCAACCCTTCAGCTGATCCAGTTAAACCAGTACCGAACCGCTAGTTAACCAGATTGTTGATCGATTCAGTTTAAGTACTTTTTTTTTTAATTTTTTGATTAAGTTTTTTTTTTTATTATTTTAAGTTTATTATTATTATTATTATTATTTATGCATGTTTAAAGTTTTATATTTTCTAAAACAAATATTTGTTGCTTTTTTATAATAACAATATTAAAAATGAGAAAATAAATAAAAATAAATAATGAAAAATAAGGTTTAAATTTTTTTATAGTTTTATTAAAATTTAAAATAAACCTTAATAATAATAATAATAATAATAATAATAATAAAATTTTTATAATTATAAACTCCTCCATTTATATTAACAAATAATTGAAAAACAATAAAAATTTAAGAAAAAATTTTTTATTTGAAGATGAAATTCTAAAGCACTTCGAGTAGTGATGCCTACGAAATCTTTAGGTGAAAAGATTTTTTTAAATACTATCAACGTATTTGAGTATTTATAAAAGGTTTTTGATATAATAAAAATCTTTTTTTCTATAAACTAAAAATAATAATTAACTAAAAATTATTAATGAAATTAAAATTAACTAAAATAAATAAAAATAATGAAAAAATGATAGAAAAGAAATTTTTGCTCGATAATAAGATTTTAAGGTATTACGACTAGTGATACTTTAAAAATTTTTAAGTGAAAATTTTTTTTAAATACTATCAATATATTTAAGTATTTATAAAAAAAATTCAATATAATAAAAGTTTCTCTTTCCTTCAGAAAAATAATAAAATAATAATAAAAAAATTTTTAAAAGAAAACAAAATGTGTGCATCAATATTGTTCGCATTGTATGCATGATCTTGTTTTTACAAAAAATAAATACGAACATTTGATGATAAGATTCTTAGTTATTTTGAGAAGTGATGCCTACGAAATCTCTAAGTAAAAAAAAGTTATTTTAATGTTACTAGCATACTGAAACATTTGAAAATTTATTTCAATAAAAGTGTTCTAATTTATTTTTTTAATGAAGTTGGAACAATAATAAAATAAAAAAAAACTAAAACTTCGATAAATAAAAAAAGTCAAGAAAATTATTTTTAAATACCGAAACTAAGATCTTTTTTGTTAAGATTAAAGGATAACACTTAATTAATTAGTGTCATTTGAAATAGGCACTGTAAAAATACTAATCCTTCATTACGCGTAATCAACTTACGAATCTAAATTATTTCGTAGATTCTAAAACTATCTTTTTAAATAAATTTTAATTGATCTGAAAATTTTATTAAAAAGATATAATTTAATAAATGACTACCCAACCAAAAAAAAATTAATGAAGACTTTATTTTTTCTTTTTATTTTTAAATTCGTCAAACGATTTTAAAATTGTTACGATAAATATAATAATATATCATAAAAATGATACAAAAAATATACAAAATTAAAAATTAAAAAATATGTTTTATTGGTGTATTGATATAAATTTGCTTTGATAATTTTATGTTTTATACATATGATATAAACATAATATAAATATACAATTTATCAAATTTAAATTGAACGTTACTTGAACATTTGCTTATTTGTTTTAATATGGTCATTTGTATTAAATTAACTAAAGTTGTTCGAAACTGTCTTAATTGTCAAAGAGAATTATTTTGTGTAGGTCTCTATAAAATGCGTCTCAAGATCATGCTTTTCTGGACCACCAAATCAATTAGTTCAGCGCGTACCAGTTGGTTTTGGTTGCTCCAATCCGATTCAGTGTTCGGGCAACTGCGTCACTTCACCAAAGTTTGTGAAAAATGGATGGTATGATCCTATTGGAGGTCCCCCCCCCCACACACTCTTCTAATCAATGTGCACCAAGTCTTTATCATTCTTTTTCATCCTCCTTTTTCTTCTGTTTTGGTATTTAGAGTTTAATTATCATTTAAAAGGGATAATCAATAAAGCCAAACGTTTGTAATTCGAGCAGCAGTCCATGAGCAATTTCCAGACGCCACAAATCAAGTAGTAGGAATACATATTTTACCATAAAGTAAAAATTAAAAAAAAAATTGCAGGAAATAATTGAATTGATGATTTTTTTTTTCCTCTATTTTTTAACTTTTGTTGCTTTTTTAAATGAATCTTATTTAAGTTTATTTGAATAAAATATGAAATTAATTTTGATAAAATTAAAAATAATAATAATGAGATTAATTATTCAATGATAAAATTAAAAATTATGATGAGAAATATGTTTAAATATAGTAACGTATTGAGCTGATAATGTAAAATAACCATTAAATAGTTTATTTTCAAAGTGTATTCATGAATTATTTTTATTAAGTATTTTATTTTAAAAATTAATTATTTACTAATTTTTAATATAATAAAAATTATTTATTATATTAAATCAACAAAAATTCTTTCAATATTTTTTAAAATAAAAAATCAAAATGAAAAAAAAAAGAACAAACTTTATAATTTAGAGAAACTCCTTTCTTTTTCTTTTTCTTTTCCTTTTAATATACATGAAATATGTTGAATGTGATTATAAAGTGATTCAGCCGCGTGCACCTAATAAAGAAGATTAATGGGACCCTTAATGAAGCAATTTTCAGTCCTCGCCTTTTTCCCTAATTAAAAACAGGCTCATGGAAAGAGCACGACAAGATTGTAGGTCATATTTTATTCGCACTAGGGGATTGTAGGTCAAAAAAATTAAGCTTCATGCGCCGCTGCCCGCTGCCACTTCCATCTCCTCTTACCTACTACTCTCTTGGGTGTTTCCAAAATTTGAAATGAGGTCAATTTTTGTCTCTGTTCCAAAACTGATGCTCAAAAAGATTTTATATCTATTCAATATGAGATCCAGCTGGTTTTTTCTTAAAATATCTAATTTTGTTTCAGATTTTTTTAATTAGATTATGAGATTTGTTCACATAAAATTAAAAATAATTATAATAATTTATGAGTAGATGATAAAATAAAAAATAACTACACCTTCTATCGATTTTTTTATTCATCGTTTTTTTATGTCTCAAAATTATGTTTTATTGTTTTTAATATTTAAAATTTTTATTATTTTCATTAAAAATTATGATATTTTAATTTTATAAAAAAATTTAAATTTTAATATTAAATATATTAAAATTAAAATTTTTTAAAATTTTATAAATATTAATACATGATAAATATTTTAAAACGGAAGAAATAGAAAATTAGTTAAAATTAGTGATTGATTTGAATATAAATGAAGTGGTGCAAAATTAGATATGACAGCCACCACAAAAGATAGTTAACCACTGGATGCTATTGAAATGCATCCACACAATGTAATTGAAAGGAAAAATTATCGTGTTAAAATTTTCATAAACATGTTTAAACACGAGAAATATTTTTTTAATTTTATATATTTTATATACTTTTTGTATTTAAAACTACTAAATTTATGATAATAATATTAATACACTTCAAACTTTAAATTTTAAAAAGAAAAAGAAAATAGTATTGTACATCGCCGTAGGCCTCGAGGGGCAAATCCCACTAATGTTCTTTAGAAAAAGGGGGAAAAAAAAAGATAAAAAGATGATAATGGTGGGTCCGGAAATAGGTTGTTTTAGTAGACACACAGTTGCACATGGCTGACATTATGCAGAAAGAGCAAAATCCCTGGCAACATTGCTCATGAAATGTGCATAAAAACCCTGCCTCTGAAAAACTTACGATTACCAGCCCAACCAAAAATTTACTTATCTGACAATCAAAAATCTTTTTCATTGTCCTTTCCAGAGAAAGGGTGAGGTTCCTAGTCAAATACACAACTAGACAACCTACATAAATTTGTGGTAAGCAAATCTAGTATTAAGGAGGTTTCAATGAGCTGTAAATTAATCAAGGAAATTGTGTTAACATTTGTTTTAGAAACAAAAAAAAAAAATTGAAAACGGATGGATACATTTTTATCAAATTATACCAATTAGGGTCTGTACCTTTGATTAAAAAAGATTAAAGAAAAGTTTAATACATTTTAAAAAAAAAGATTGCAGTATTAGAATAGAACTGAAAGTTAAACATTAAAATTGCTGAATGCCTACTAAAGCGTGAGAATATATAGATATAATCAAAACTAAACTCCAGATAATATATAGATATTATTGTGTTTTTTATACAATGAAAAAGTTGGGTTTTAAAATTATAATTGGTATGAGAATTATCCACGCAAATTGGAAGATTGGGGGCCGAGAAATTAATGAAAAAAAACTGGATCAAAAGGGTTAACTAGAAAAGGTGAGAATTGAAGTACAATCTATTGGTATACAAAAATAGTATTAGGAATAACTATTGCAAAGGTACATATTTAACAAACTTAACTACCTTAACTAATCATCATCAACAGCCACCTCAAAACCAGACCACAAAACACATCAAAGACGAGAGAGAAAGTCCAAAACAATAACAAAAATATTCAAAAAATTTTAACAAAAATAAAAATTACTGATCAAGAGCATTCGGCCCAGTACAGTAACTCACGATATGATTCCAAACCCACTGAACCAAGTACCTCCGTCTGATGCCGTACATGTTGTACGTGGAACCATATTTATCATTCAATAGCTGTCCCGTGTAGGACCCTCCACCTCCAGTTCCATAAATACCCTCGCATAAATCCGCTATTTCCACGGGAGCCACGGGGTCTTGCCCGGCGTACCAAGCGTTCACCAGTGGATTGGTTGCCAGCTCAGCAACTTCGTGCCCGATCACGCTTATCATCCCGTCCACTCCCACGTCACCGTTGGGTGACTTTAACGGCTTCAATCCCGGCATGTATTCTGGTACGGCGAAGGGATACGCGCATATTCCAGGGCAAAGCTTTGCGGAGTTACCTATCCATGCATATGGGAGTGTGTAGCCCACGATAGATGGAAATGTGAAATAGTGGAACCCACAAACTTGGCCACAAAAATCCTGGACGTACACGTCATCGGATGTGAGCAAGAGGTAGAGCCCACTCTTGGGATTTATCGGCAATGGCTTCGTACTCGCAGTTACAGCGCTTTTTATCACGGACTGTATCGATAAGCGCGTGAGGGATTTCCCGTGCGAGTAAAAACGATCGTTTTTCTCTTCCCCTAAGCGCACCGTATGGGAGATGTTAGCGCCTGTTTGGTCCGTGTAAAGCTGTACGGTCTTCCACCACCCGGCAATCGAAGGGCGCTTGGCATCAACGGCCGAGATTGAGTTGATGAACTCGCGGATGATCTTCTTTTGGGATATCTGCCACCGGCCGTACCAGATTGTGTGGATAGTGATGTTAGCGGTGAGGACTGGGCCCATGTGGTATCTCATGTGGACGAACTCAGATGAGCCCTCGAATTTCTTGGAGCCTCCGATCAATAAATCAGAGCTGTTGGGTTTTAAGTGAAGCCATGGACGATATCCGGTGGCCGGAGTAACTACCAGCAGTGCAGCAACGGTGATGAAGCTGAGAAGCACCGGAACCAGGTGCATTTTTAGCAAGTGATTTGAAGATAGTGGGAAAAAGATGGAAGGCTATGGTACTCTATAATATTTGCGAGGATAATCGGGCGTGTATATATATATATAAAGCGAGAGAGGGAATTCATAAATTTAATTTTAAAAATCTAATATTAATAAATTTTGAATTTTACTCTTTGGGGTTTCGAAAACGAAAAAAAGAAAAAGGTTTTTAGAATTTTTATGGGGCATTGATTTGCGAGTAATGGAGGACAGATAGATTCTTTAAAGTGACGACTGAAGAGAGGAGTTGACGTGATGGCGGGGTGGCGTTGGCGTGGCAAAGTGGGGCCTATGGAGTCAGAATAGGGTATGATGATAATCATATGGTGGTCGTCGTCGCCTGATCTGATCAACTTTTTGTTACTGATAGCGCGGGAAAATATGGCGGATGAGGGTAGTTTGGGGATTAATATTTTAAGGGACCTTGAGGGTTCCTCTGGGGATGTACATTGTGTTTTATCGAGCTACACACCCCACTTGCATCCTTGTCTATGGCTTGACCACGTGGCTGAAATGGATCGAGGCACCGCACTATTCGGTGGACGTAAAAATAATATATCAGTCTTACTAAATTATTCAAATTTAATTAAAATAAAATTTAAAACTATGTAAATTATTATTAAATTAAAATTAAAATTAAATAATTTAATTTATCAAATAAATTATATTTAAATATTTAATTTGAATATTTTACAAATTTAATTAAATTTTTATATTTTAAAATATATTTTATTATTTTAATTATATAGTAATTCACATTTAAACAAAATAATTAAATTTAAAATCAAATATATAAATTAAATTTATTTTAATTAATAATTAAACATAATTAAATAAATTTAAATCATTTAATTTTTATTTTTAATTTAATTTAAATTTTTAAAATAAAATTTAATCGAATTCAAATTAAATTTTAAATTAAAATCAAATTTAGATTCCTCGTTATATTAATTCGACTAACAAAAACCAGCTAAATAAGTCAGCGAAAGCCACGATCCCCAAATTTTTAACTTCTTATAAAATTATAACTAATTTTACCGGATATTATACCTGACTTTCATCTCTCTTAAATTAATTATTCCCCCTGCCCCTATTCAATTTTCATAGCATCGCCATTGTCGATCACACACTAACGTCAAAATGCTGTTTAGCAAATCAGTTTCATCATAAGCTGCTCTTCAAAGTTAGTCTCACGGTTTTGCAGTTCCACAAAGCCAGATTGAGTTTTTTTTTTTTTTTTTTCTCGTCGGAATATAACACCACTTACTAAGATTACAATCAATTTTAACAAACATAAAATCGTATATCATTACTACTTGCACATTTTAATTCTCTTATCATAAAATTTCCTTTGTGATTTTACAAACAAAATAAAAGCTTTAAAATCTAAATATAAAAAATTTATGAACTAAAATTAAAATTATCATCTATATTTTTATCGATTAATTATACTCAATTAAACTTCAAATAATTATTTTTTATCCGATTGAACTTTCTATTCAACAAAATTTATCCCTTGACAATAATGATCCTTAATCAACTTATTTTTAATTAAAGGTTAAATTAGAAAAAAAATAAAATGTTTTAAAATTTTATTTGATTATAATCAAATGTTAAAATTTTAAATGATTATTTAATTTTAATTGAACTTTTTATATTTAAACCAAGCTTCAACTTTTGTTTAATGGTCTAAATTTTTTTTTTAAGTGCTTACTATTGACTTGTTAAAACATAGCATTAGTTGCATTTATGATATTTAGTGTAACCATTTTATTAGTAAGTGAAAGTTCTACCTATTATGCCAACCTATTATATCTTTAATTAAATGAATATAACAATGAGATAAAAATTGTAAATAAATAAGTGAAAGTTGGTGGATTAGATGATTTAATTCGAAATTGAAATGTTTAATGGACATTGTTAAATTTAATTTGAAGGTCATGTTTAGTACATAAAATTATAATAAGATAGAATAATTTGATATTATGAATATGATTAAATTAAATTATTTTATTTTATTTTATTTTGTGTTTGATACATGCAATGATTAGAATAAGATAACTTACTTATTTGTCAAAATTATCATTTACTAAAATTTATATAATTTAAATTGTTAATATAATTTTTAAGGGTATAATTGGATATGTAGGTTTAATCCTATGGATTAAAAATAATCATCTCTACTTAAGGAGAATTGAATAATCTTATATCAAGGGAATTAAGTGAAGAGGATTGAATAATTTTATACTAAGAAGATATTAATCTTAATTGCAACACATATTCCTTTCATTAGAGACAAATCAAACAAGATATAAAATGATTATCATTTTATCCTATCAATAATTTTATACATCAAGCATGACCTAATTAAGATTACTATATAAAATAATATTTCCCTTCACTTTATTAAAAATCATAAATAAATTTTGTCAAATATTACATTTAAAGCATGCTAAATTTTAATAAAACAGGAGAATGTTTTCCCAAGACCAAACAAACATACTATACTTGTTTCCCAAAATCGAGTGTATCAAAAGTAGAGACATTGTTGTTTGCATTTACCCTTTCGGTGACTTGTTAACTTTATAAAATAATTCAATTAGTCTACACTCTTCATGATATTAAAAAATTTTTTGGCCAATGTACTAAATTTACTTAAATACATAAAATTTTACTACCTAATTTATTTATGGAAAATATTTGACAAAATTTTAAGTGAAATTCATAAAAATTTTTATTAAAATTGATTAAATAAAAATTAAAATCCAAAATTAAAGTTGATAGATTAAAATATCTTTTTACAAATATCAAGTGTATAAATTTTGAAAAAAAAAAATTTTTAGATGAGTACTTTCTGTAAAAATTTTGACATAAATTTTATTGTTTGATTAATAGCTATCAAATTTGAATAGTAAATTATATTTTTAATAATTTTTTTACATGTTATTGATCTTTATATTAAAATTTATCTATTTATCAATTTTAATTTATTAAAATTTTTATTAAATTATTTTTAGTAAAAAACTTCACAAATTTTACCTAAAAATTTCATTTAAATTTTGTCATTCAGCTATACCTATGATGCATTATATATTTTTGAGAAATAATTAAAAAGAACAAATAAAATAAATAAAATTGGGAGGCTCTATAAAACTATATCGTTTTTAATTAAAAAGAAAAGGAAGATGGAAGGTATTTCCTATACTTAAATCCATCTAATAAATTTTAAATATGATACAATAATATGATATGAAAAATATATAAAAGTAATATAATTTAAAATTTTAACAAAAATTATATATAAAATTGATAAAAATAAAAATATGTTTCTTGTGTAACATATCAATATAAATTATGATGCTATAATTTTTATATTTTACACATATTTGATACAAAATAAATATAAAATAAATACACAAATTACTCTATCTAATTTTTTGTTGCTTTATTCTATTCAATATTTTTTATATTTAATTATTTAACCATAAATAATTGTGAAACGACTACTTCTACTTGTTAGTAGTGCAATTTATGACCAAACAACCTCGTTTAAAATTTAATGTCAATCTTGTTAGGATCATGACAGTTATAATACAACTTATTAAAAATACAATAACTTTGATACTAGTTATTAGTCCAGTTTTGATACTAGTTGTTAGTTCAACTTTAATATAAAGTTGTTATGTAAAAAACCTTGATCAATTAAATATCTAAGTCAGCAGAAACAAAATCAAACGATCAATTAATCTTATAATAAATAATAATTTAACGTAATTTAGCTCAATTAACTTATATATACTAATAAAAAAAATATCTACTAATTATAAAAAATTATAAACATATTAATAAATCAATCTCATTTACAATCAATACACATAAATTCTTTTATTATCCTCTAGCACTATTAAGTATTCTCAATCCAAACAAACATATATCCATATATACTCATGAACTATACCTATATAAATCATTTTATTTTCTTCTAATCTACTAAAACATATACATTTATAAAAATGTGGATCTCTAGTAATTTTATGAGATATCTACCTAATAAAATCTTGTAACTCTCTTACATTTTTTTATATTTAATTTTATAAAGACTTGTCTATTTATAATCATACTAATTTACTTATCAAGATTTTTTTTCTCTTAAAATTTTTCTTTTATAATTTTTCTTATTCATCAAGTAATATCTAGTCAATTTCAAACAAATCTCTTATGATATTTGAGTCACTATTTCTAATAAATTTTATCCAAATTCAATAAAAATATGATGTTTACTATAATAAAGATAAAGATGAGTATTAAATTTTATGATAAAGACAGAAATAAATATGGTTTTAAATTTTTTATGAGATACAGATACGAGGATGAACAATATAGTATCCGATTCATACCTATATCTCATATATATTTAGATATATTTAATAAATTAATTTTTATTTAATAATATGAATTTTATTTTATATTTATTAGAACTAATATATTTGTATTTAAAAAATACATATTTATTAAAAAATTACTTAAATATGTAAGATAAAAATAAAAAAATTATTTAAAAAAAGAAATACAAAGATTATTTTTATTTATTAAATACTAAAAAAATAAAAATAAATTTAAATTTAAAATATTCTTCAAATATAAAAACTAAAAGTAAATATAAAAATATTCTATTCGACTTATACCTTAATTTGATTGCCATCGTTATTTAAAATGGCATTGGCAAAATGTACGTATTAAGTCTAGGTCTATAGGCCCCTAGATTTTTATTCATAAAAAAAAAAAAAAAGGGCAAAATGCCAAGTCAATGGTTCCAGCGTAGCAGAGTCTAGCTCCCTATCATTTCCGTCCATCTCAATCCAACACTCTTCGTCTAATTTACGATTACATCCCCTCTTTTTGGCCTGTTACTCTTGTACCTGTTACGACGGCTGGGACCCTTTTTGTGTCTTCATATTGCAGGACAATCCTTTAAACTAGGGCCATCTAATTTCACTGCTAAAATGAGTGCTTAGTTTTCTTGGACAGTGTCGGGGAAGAGGACAAAATGACAAGGAAATTGATTAAAACAAAGTTTTCAAAATTGAATTTCTTTTATAGTTGAAAAAAAAAAAAAGGGAAAATA